TATCTTTTTGACCCTCTCTATTTTACTTCCTTTTCCCTTTTTAACCCTCCCTATTTTATTTCCTTCTCGCTCTTGTTCAGCCAGTTTTTCTGATTCTACGCCAAATCTGTCTTGCTACATAATGTTTACATATCTGCATACATTTAATCGATCTCTGGATTCAAAATACCAAAAAATAACAAACAAGGCTAGAGAGGACCTTTTAGTGTTTGCTGCCAATTCTACCCAAGTCCACCAAATCTTGTGTGCTTGGGTAACCTAGAATGTTACCATAAGTTATGGGAACTACTCAAATTACACTATAAGCTGATGCAGTGTTTTAGAAAACAAACACTTACACATATTATGTCTTTTCCACTCAGTAAAATATTAACATTTTATTGCTTTTTTAATATATTTGTGTGTTTTCACTGATGAAATGTAGGAAAATCACAGGGAAAACTTCACATCCAGGGAACTATTATCTGTTTTCCACTCACTGTTGTATCAAATTTATTTCATTCAATATTACATTAGTCGCTTAATTTCGCTCATTGTCCACATTGTATAACATGTTTTCCTCAATCTCCCAACTTCTTAGATTCTACTTTGCAAGTAAAATACTTACTTTATTTTCATTTTATAGTGAATATAAAAGTAATAATTTTCCTTTGGTATAGCGATTTTCACGTCAGATGATGTCTCAAAGTGCTTCACAGGAGAAACTGTAAAGTGTAGTGACTGTTATTTGTGAATGAATATTCTAAACTGCCAGCCTTACACTGCACACACATATAAAGAACACACAAAGTGCAAAGTATTTCAAAGCATACGTAATAATAATCCTTGCATTAGACATAGCACCTTATTATGTCGTTGAGATGTCTCAAATCACTTCACAGAATATATACTGTAAAGTGAATTGACTGTATATTTTGTGGGCTGTCCCACCTTATATTGAATGAAAATATATATATAGTAATTTTTTCTGAGGTAATAGGAGAAAATACTAAAAGAGATTAATAAACAAAAGTGTTGACTTTAAAAAAAAAGGTATTGGTGCACAGCTTTTTATAGTGAAAATGTATATTTCTGTGTAAGATTCTTAAGAGTTTGAAATGGTTTAATGGAATCCATCAAATATCCATGTTCAGTAACCAAGGCTCAGGTGTCCCTCTTGTTCGGAATCAGGGAGCACCAAGTAAGCACATTTAACTATGACCTGCCAGTGTGACTCTATTAAACCTTACCAACCTGTCCTCTCCCTACCCTCTGCCTGCTCCATGTCCCCCACCGTGCCGCCCTATCATCAGGAGTCGGGCCTTCAGCCTTTCTGCTCCCATTTTCTGGAACACCATCCCGGAATCCCTTTGCCTCGTCCACTCCCTTGCCTCCTTGAAGGCTCATTTCAACGCCTTCCTCCTTGAAGCACCTTTGATCATCCTCCTACCCTTGCCCTCCACCCCTCTCGATTCCAACCCCCAGCTTGGGTGCAAATCTTTGACTGTCCAGCACCTTGAGACATCCTCCAAAAATGAAAGGTGCTATATAAATGCAATTTGTTGTTGTATTTTACATTGCTCATGCTAATAATGTGAAGAGCATAAGTAGTCTGCTCAAGTAAAAGGGGGAAGGAAATTGATTTCCACTCAGGTTGTGCCCCTGCGCTCCCCATATACTCATTGAGAATATGATTGTAAAATCCTGCTTAGATTGAGTTCCTGGTACCTTTCTTTCATCTAGTCAGAGCTAAAACCTGCTCTTGTCTATGTCAAATAATCACCCCTACTTGGGTGAGAAGTAAGCAGCTTATCCTTGGAGCTGAACTAGCTCCAGGATAACATGGTTGCCAACAGAATGTCATCTCAATATTCTATGGCAATTCCTGAACCTGATGGGTCTGCATCAGCAGCACCTGAAGGGGCAGAGCAATCATTGGGTCATTCAGCTCCTATTAAGAATGTAAATCAAAGCTCTAATGTGTAGGGTGGTCCTAGTTGGACATGTAGCAGGACACTTGCCAAACAGTGCTTTCAATGCCAAGCTAAATGTTTTTAGCCGATTAAACCCACCACATACTCTGGGGCACCAAAGCCTGGGCTCTTACCATCCATGTCTAAAACCCTCTGCAATTAGTCCCTCCAGGGAAAGAGGAGTGTGATACACAATAAATTACACACTCTCTCCCTTGTGTAGATACAATAAAATGCAAATTTCAAATTCACATTAAATGTTGCCTTTCACATCAGTAGGATCAAACAAGTTAAACCGGTCTGACTTGGTTTCTAAGCTGGGGGTGGGAGCCTAGGAGGATAGCAAGGGAAAGTGATGGAAGGTATGGTCATAGGAAGGTTGGACAGGAGACATGCAGCCCATATCCTTTCTCGCAATAGGTTCCGCAACACCAAACTTCACCTGACTCCACTGGCTCCCCACCCCCCATCAAATAGGATTGAAGATCCTGTTCCTAACCTTAAACCCCTCCATAGTCTTGCCCATCCTCACCTCTGCAATCTCTTCCAACCTTACGAACCCACTCCTCCATTCAGCGGGCTCCAGCTGTTTTATGACCTCCCCCCCACCCCATCCCACGCGGCATTTGTGCCGGCACTTAATCCATTTGTGTTGAAAGGTGATTTAATGTATGCCAGTATGACGTACGTATAGCATTCTCATGACGCAAACCTTCATTTCAAAGCTGAAGCTGAAATACAACTATGAACTTGAAATCTTACATACCACATTGGATAGTATAGAAGTGAATGCCTCCAATCACATATTTCTGAAGTTGAAAGAGGCTATTCCTCCCATACCAACACTTGTCAATGAAGAATACATACCTCACTCACCCTGTAACACAACACACCCACATACATTAGAATGTGTTAGAATACACAGCACAGAAACAGGCCATTCAGCCCAACTGGTCTATGCCGGTGTTTGTGCTCCACATGAGCCTCCTCCTGCCCTTCCTCAGCTAAGTCTTCAAGGATAACCTTCTATTCATTTCTCCCTCATGTACCAATCTAGCTTTCCTTTAAATACATATATGCTATTTGCCTCAACAACTCCTTATGGTATCATGTTCCACATTTCCGCTATTCTCTGTGTGAAGAAATTTCTTCTAACTTCCCTATTTGATCTATTTGTGACCATTTTATATTGATGGGCCCTGGTTTTGGTCTCCCCCACAAGTGGAAATATCTTCCCTATGTCTACCCTATCAAAACCTTTCATCATTTTAAAGACCTCTATCAGATCACCCCTTATCCTCCTCCTTTCAGGAGAAAAGAGTCCAAGTAAGTTCAGCCTTTCCTGATAGGTATAACCTCTCAGTTCTGGGATCATCCTTGTGAATCTCCTTTGCACCCTCTCCAGTGCCTATACATCCCTTCTATAATGTGGGGACCAGAACTGCACACAGTATTCTAAGTGTGGTCTAACCACAACTTCCCTGCTTTTCATCTCTATCCCTCTAGAAATGAACCCCAATGCCTGGTTTGCTTTTTTATGGGCTTATTAACCTGTGTTGCTACTTTTAGTGAATTGTTTGTATGTACAGCCTAGATGCCTTTGCTCCTCTCCCCATTTAGGTTTTTATTTTCCAGGATGTATGTGACTTCCTTATTCCTTCTACCAAAATGTACCACCTCACACTTTTCTACATACGCAGCAACAACAATTTACTTTAATATAGTGCCTTTCACATAGGTACGACTTCTCATACATGTAGATCAACAGTAGCTTTTTGAACAAATGTATACTTAGGAATAATATGGTACAATATTCATGACATTGCCAATAACATTTCCACTTAGCTGATACCTAATAATACAATTATAATAATAATAAATAATAATCCTTGCATTTGATATAGTGCTTTTCACTTCTTCTCGACATCTCAAAGCGCTTCACAGAATAGACTGTAAAGTGAATTGACTGTATTTTTGTGGGCAAAACGTGGCAGGCAATTGCACACAGCAGTGTCCCACAAACAGTTGAGGATTGAAATGACCAATTTTTTTTTCATTTTTTTGAGGAATTATTATCAATCGTGTGAAGTAAGGAAACCTGCCCAAGGTTTCGCCCTGCCGGGAATCGAACCCAGGCCTCTTGCATGCAAAGCAAATTCTGCTGATATTCTGAAAGTCTCCGAAAGAGAAAAAGGCACCACTTGTACAATGTTCTGACCTGGAAAACGGAGGAATAAACAGGGAAAATGGAAACCACCAGCACTGTACTAAGAAACTAAAGATAGCAACAATAGGTTGAATTAAGTTAGCACCCTACACATAGAATGCTTCGGACCACTTATATCACATTGATTCTGCTATAAGCTGCTTTCAGTCTTCAGTTGGCCTACCAACTCTCAGTTCTCTGGTTCACTATAAACCATTGTCCTTTATTAATTTATCCTATAGTCAATTCACCCCAGTCATTTTCTTGTATAAATCATACAAGGTTTAGGGTCAATATCGAGAGTCACCCATCTCCTTCATGCAGTCTTCGACTGGGTTTTTAATGCATGGAAATCTAGCAGTAGATCTTTATTAGAACTCTGTGTTACCTGGGTCAAGTGTTACCTGGATTCAAAGTTTTTAACTGTTGTGAATATATTCTGCAATTCCTTCTCTATAATTCATTTTGATATGTTACATTCATTTATTATCGGATGCAAAGCAAGGCTGATTTGCCTGTTGAAAAGAGTCGGTAAGAAAACAGAACAAAAAGACGTTGAGACAAGTTCACAGTAAGGTAAACAGTAAGGCAATCTGGCACAAACAATGGCATGTTTTATCATGTGAAAGTCAGTAAAAAAATCATTCATATCCTAAGTTATGATTCCTGCCAAACTGTTCTCTCAGCCGTGGTCTAGAACAATGAACCTCGAAGCATCAATCAGAAATGTTCTGCAAACAGGAAATCGGGACGAGAAATCGAGACCAAAACTTGTAGCAGAAACTTCAGCAGGTGAAATGCAAGCAGGTGACTGAAGAGCCCATTCCCAGCCCCTTCCTTACCTGCCTCACTGAGCCCGAGCCTCTCACTCTACAATGCTGTGCGCTGTTAAGATCCTTGCTGCTGCTGCTGTGGGGAAAGCCTTTCGTTAGACTGGAGTCAAACTTAGTTTTTCAAACTATTTCCCCGTCATGTGTTAAAAAAAATCCCGGTGACATCAGTCTCCGTCAGGTGCCGCCCACTGAAAGAAGCAAGATAGATTTTCTGTAGGGATTAGAAATGGACACCACCAAAGGAATGTGACATAAACAAGCACTCACACAGCACTAACCAGCAAACACAACTATTCCCCCTTTGTTTTGAATATGAATTCATTTAAAATAATAATAAATGCAATTGTTTCACTCAGTAAACAATAATATTATTCACATCCACAGTGAGATATTGCTGGGGAGGAGAGGGGGACTAAATCCAGTGAACCTTCATAATTCGCCATCCTGGCATGAAAGACACTATTTCAAATGCAAGGATTATTTGTTAACAAGTTCATGAAATGCAATCTCTAGTTCACTCTATACAACAGGTTCCATGGGCTAAATGGCCACTTTAAATTTTTTTTTGTCTGACCCATAAATCACCATGCTTTAAGAGTAGCGAAACCAAACTGAGAATTATATGCATCCCACCTACACAGGTAAACTGTCACGACTGGAATGGAATGCACACTCTCTTCCCAGAAAGTACACACCCTGCTTACTCATTTCTGGAAACTATTAGGTGCAGATTGGTAAAGAATGTATGTTGGGGTACTTCTAGATCTAAACAGCTAAAATTGTCTAATTTATAATACTCCTTAATCATCCTTATTTGATATAGGGCTTTAGCAAGTCTTTAAGACATCTCAAAGTGCTTCACGGAATATACTGTAAAGTGAATTGACTATATTTTGTGGGTGAAACATGGCAGCCAATTGCGCACAGCAGTGTCTCACAAACAGTCGTGGATTGCATGACCAAATTATTATTTTTTTAAAAGAATTTTTACCCCCAGTAAAGCAATCCACCAATCAACTAACAACTGGATTCCTACTTACTGACAGTTGAACAGAGGTGTGTGAGTAAGGAAACTTGACCAACGTTTCACCCTGCCTGGGAAGTTAAGAGACTGAAGAGTATCCCTGCGTGCTGTCACTTCTGTCCACCAGATTTGAATCCCTGGAACCAGGTGTAGTATAGTCTATAATATCTCCTTCCCCTTGTTAATAATTCGACAGGCGGTGGTAAGAGTATATTGTTTATTCCACTAATATCAAATATATATAAGACAAACAGTAAAGTTCAATAATCTGCATTCAAACAGTATGAACATATAACAACACAAGGGTCCACAACGTTCAATGACATGGATAAACAAATCAAATAACAAGAGAAACAACAGCATGCACTCAGGAATTGCTCAGTTCTCAAGACAAAACAATAAGCCCGAGAATGCACCTCAACATACACAGCAGAGATCAGCCCCTGGAAATCCCTCAGCAACAACTGATTCTGTAACATAAAATGTAATAGGGACTGGTGCCCGGTAAACCCTCGGACACAACCAATCCTATATAAAACATACACAGCAGAGATCACAGAACTATCACATAAAATCACAGAGAGTGGCTCCTGTAAACTCAACAGAAACAATCAGCTCTTAGCCCAGCACCTCACTCGTGCTGCCTAACCTGACTCTTCTGTGTTTCAAACGGACCAAGCACTACTACTTTTATTACTTCTCTGCCTAGCAACAGAACTGAAAACATATTACCCGTTCCCCATGTCGGGACAACAGCGGCAGGAGGGAGATCTTCACCTCTCTTCTGAGGATGCTTCCTCAACTGTTGTGTCGAACCACACTTTTGCCCCTATCCTTATCTTTGCTGCAGAATGGTTCCAAGCATTCCATTCTTTCTTATGTATCTAGTACAAACAGTCCCTCCATTTGTTGCTATTCTGCCCTATTCTTCTGGATCCAGTTCCCTTTTTATCTCGTGACAGGCTAGGCCTTGAGAAATCTTTCTGCCAGTGTACCAACTAGCTATCAATTATGTTCATTGTGTTAAAGTCGAGTGCGTTTACAGCAGCTGGTACCAAGGTGACTGCCTCTCTTTCACTGACAGAGCCAGTCTCCGCAATTCTGTGGTTACAACGATTTCTGAAAACACTTAATACATGTATACATAGAGGCACATTCACTCTAAAGATATATAGTAATCAAAAGAACACATTTAGACAAAACCTACACTAACACTCTCCTCTGTCTTTTCCCTGCAGGTTGCTAGGTGTTATCTTCCAGGTTGGGCAACCTCGTGAATAACACAACGGGTACCCTGCCCTCTGCCCCCTCTGCACCACCTCTAGCGCCCGCAGTCTTCATGCCTGTGGGCTGACCATGCCCCACTAACCACCTGCCTCAAGTTTCGGCGTGCGCACCTTGGCTGCCGCCCTCGACCCAAGTTACTTTTCCCGCAAAATGCCCCCATCCCTGCAACTCTCCCGCTTTGTCATCCTCTCTCTTCATCTTCCTCACCTCCTATCCCCACTTGACCGTCCCACAGCCTTCCTCTGCTCCAGCCTAGGAATCCTCTGTCGGGCTCACTGTGGCACTCGCCATTGGGTATCCAGCAGCAGCCACACTGACTGCCCCATCCCCCACTATCACTGCACACCCCTCAGAACCCAGACCCCGGAGACTAACCTCTCCTACCTCAGCCACATTCCCACCCTCCCTGCCAATCCTCCCACCACCCCCTCCAGTCTCACACATTCCTCTGCCAACTGTTCCCTCCGCATCGGCCTACAAAATGTCCACTCCCTTTCGAGCAAGACGCTCACCATCAACGAGATCATCGTTGATGAAAACATCGATATCCTGGCCCTCACTGAAACCTGAGTCACCCCAGGTGACATCTTTCCCCTGATTGAGGCCACACCACTTGATACCTTCCACCATACCCCACGTCCTAAATGCCGTGGTAGTGGTGGTGTGGACCTCATCTCCAGGTCCTCACTTGCTCTATCCTCCAGCTCCTCCGGCTCATTCCTCTCCTTCAAGCACCTTACCCTCCACCATCCCTCCAATCTTTCCCCAAAATTTTTCCTGATTTACTGTCCCTCCAAATCCTCCCCCACCTTTACCTCTGACATCTCTGCCCTCCTAGCTTCCCTCTGCCTCTGATCTGAACGTCTCCTCATCCTAGGCGACTTCAACCTGCACTTCACCCCCTTCTGCTCTATCTCCACCAACTTCTCCTCTCCTTTCCTCTCACAATCTCTCCCTCCACATCCAACCTGCCACCCACGTTCATGACCACCCACTCGACCTGTGACCGGTGATTATCAGTATCTCAGATATCACAGACAAAGCCATCTCCAATCACCATTTCATCTCCTTCAAATATTCAATCCCTCTCCCCACTGCCACCCAACCCACCTCCATCTCCTACCACCCCGGAAAAGAATCTCCCCACAGTCCCTTTCCGCTGTACTGGAGTTGTCTGAACTCCTTCCCCTCCATCCTACCTCTTGCATCAATTTATTCTCCTCGCTCACTTTTCTCCACAACTCCATTCTTGATGCCCTTACCACCCTCGCCTTCTGAACCACCTCCTACTCACCCTGGTACACCAGCCACCTCTGCTCACTCAAGGGTCATGTGCAGGCCGCCAAACACAACTGGCTCAAATTTGATTTAATAATCCACCGGCAGACCTTGCTGGATCACATAAAAACTTACCAGTCCGCCCTCAACTCCACTAAATTATCCTTCTATTCCAAGGTAATCTTGGAGGCCAAGGGCAACCCCAGGCTTCTCTTCTCCACTACCAACCAGCTCCTCCGTCCACGCTCTCATGCCTGGTCTATCCTCTCCTTCAGCTCCAACTGCGAGGCGATGCTGGATTTCCTCAAGACCAAAATCAAGGGGATCCATTCAGCCGCCTCTGCCCTCCCAAACGCCACCCCCTCCCTATCTCTCCCTCACACTTCAGCCCTACCAATCTCTGCCTCCATACATTCGAACCAGTCTCCCCTTCCTCTCTTACCACCACTATAACCCAACAAGAAGCCCGCCACCTGCTCCCTCGAACCCATCCCTACCGCTTTCCTTTCCTCCCAGCTCCACCTCCTCGCCCCTTTATTCTTAGACCTCGTCAACCTCTCCCTGTCAACTGACACTGTTCCCACCCCCCCTAACAACAACTGTCATCACCCCTATCCTAAAAAAAACCTTCCCGGACCCATCCTTGCTCACTAACTACTACCCCATCTCCAACCTCCCTTTCCTTTCCAAGGTCCTTGAAAGAGTTGTTGTTTCCCAGCTTCATTCCTTCCTCTCCTGCCATTCCCTATACAAACCCCTTAAATCAGGTTTCCAGCAAGGAAACAGTCCAGGTCAAGGTGACAAATGACATTCTGTCCATCTGTGACCAGGGCTCCCTCTGTCTCCTCGTCCTCCTTGACCTAGCTGCTGCCTTTGACACTGTGGACCACTCTATCCTCCTCCACCGCCTCTCACCTGCTCCCTCAACCTTCAAGCTTCTGTCCTTGAATGGTTCAGATCCCATCTCTCACACTGGCTACATTTTGTCTCGACAAACGGTTTCTCCTCCAGCTTCCGCACTGTCCTGTGTGGTATTCCTCAGGGCTCTATCCTCGGTCCTCTCCTCTTCAACCTGTACATGCTTGGTGACATCATCCGCAGATATGGGGTCAACTTCCGCATGTATGCGTATGACACACAACTCTCTGCCTCCACCCTCAACTCCAGGACCACTGCTGTCCTGACAGACTGCCTGACAGACATCAAGTCCTGGATGAGAGCCAACCTTCTACAGTTGAAAGTCAGCAAGACCGAGGTTCTCCTCCGCACCGGCAGCATCAGAAGCCACAGATGCACACTCCACCTCACTAAGCGAGTCAAGAACACAGGCATCTTGTTCGACCTTCACATCTCCCTCACATCAGTGCCATGACCAGCTCTGCCTTTCACTATCTTTATGTTTTAATTAAAGATATAGAGATGATACAAAATCAACAATGAATACAAAATAATTTACATTCATATAGTGCTTTTCATGTTAGGAGAACATCTCAAAGCACTTGGCAAAGCTGGATGGGCACAGTATTGGAAACAGTTAAGAAGGAGCATTGTCTGGCATGTTTACTTTTCAGGATGAACAATTCAAAGATAAGGAA